CCAACATTTCATGAGATAGGTCACTCACTGTAGTTAATTGACTAATACCTAACAATGATGCGTTTTCCATTATATATCATAATTCTACCGAATGTTTTAAGTAATGAACCGGTCCGTGGACGCTCGAGTACTATGATTTCGTCCATTTCGATGCCTTCTTATCAAACGACTAAAACATTCTCCTTTCGTCTTAGTCAGGCACTTGTCAATCAATGAAAAACCTCAAGCATCGAGATAAAAGTTGCAGAAACCGTTTTCAAATCTATAGGTGAAATGCATGGCTTTTTAAAAGCATTGTAATTCATTTCATTTCATTTCACTTGCGTGACATATGCAAAATTTTCCATTTAAAGTGGAGAAACACCGAAGGTATAGCTTACGCCTGATCGAATTGTTCTGAATTGGATACACGCCAGGAGTCCGCATCTGTCAAATTCGAAGTACCTGTACTGCCAATTTTAGCTGCATGCGACATTTCCAGTTGGTGGGTTGCCAGTGACGTAATCTTGCGCATATTGTCACTGCCCACATCGTCGGCAGTTCTGGGTATATCAACTGAGAACATTAGGACGCAACTAATTTCCTTTCCTCTGCGTGGTGCAGAGTAGCCGGACTCAAAAACATACCTTTAGGTACGGTAGCTAGTAGTAGTGTATGATTATCACTTGCGGGGCCCTCTTCAGGCATTTATCTACTGTATTGTCACTGTATGGGATAGGAGTCAACAGTATGGGCTAGGCAGGTATCCCATGCCTTCTTCAGGTCCGCGGTGGACAGCTCAGTTGAAGTGCGGTACTGTCCCTCTGACACGTAAAACAATAGAACTCCGCTAGATACTGGGCCTTCTTCGCGTAGATTCCTCTTTTGGCGGCTAAAATATGCTTTTATCGCGTTTGTCTTTTATTCCCGCCCTTGGGGCAAAGGAATTGGGGTGATGGTTGGTCATGTAGTGATCGTATCCATCTATCTCGCGAGGTGGGTATAGACCTTCCACGCATGCGTTACATTCACACTACCCTTTGAGACCCACTTTGTATCTAAGTGCATGCCAGCTTCGGTTGCCCACTTCCACACATACTGCTTTATTTTGCATCATATCGTAAAAGCCTAAACTCTCTTCTTGGGCTGCCAACATTGTATCTTCGGCGGCATATTATTGTTACATCTACCTGCACCTCTACAACTGTACCACAGAGTGCTCTCGTTTGTCTTTTGTGTGCTGATGAATACGCAGAACGTTATACTGAGTGCAGTCCGATTGCTGTTGCATGGAATACTCCGATGTCGACTAAGCACAGCTTTATTTTCGTCGCCCTAGTAAATGCAGGGCATATCTTAATAATTTTGTCGGCTGTTTCTGAATACTTCGTTCGTTAAATAAAGAACATCAAGAGCTCGATCCTCGCGCACATGGTAGCAACACACCATCGTGTAGACGTCAGGGAAGCCTTCTGAGTGATTTACAAGGTAGAATGGCATTATCGACAAAGACAAGGGAGACTGGAATAGCAATTTGTGGCTTATTAGCCGTCGCCAGCCAGTCATACCCAACACCGAAGTATGGGACACCCGAGGCGCGAACTCGCAAAGCTATCCAAAACTACTTGGGCAGTGTCAGTTAAGTATAGGAGGGGCGGTGTGTAACCCCCTGGGAAAGCCGTAGTTAGCTATGGCACTAATGCCAGCCCTGACTATGGCTGTAATGGGTAACCTTAACCTTTAACCCATAAGAATTTAGGAAAAAAACTCGAGCGTAACGGCAATCTTAACACTAGGCCTTTTATCCCTAGCCCAAGCCCTAAACCTTAGTTAAAATACGTAACATTAATTGTAAACCCCTACACTAGCCTCAACCGAAAATCCAGACTAAAATCAAGGCTTGACAACCTCAACCCAAGGAATAACCCAATGCCCAGTACTAATCCTAACTCCAGCCATATCCCTAACCCTAACCTTCAGCCCGATACGGGCAATTTTGACGTCGATAAAACGAATGAAGTCCAAATATGCGTACCACATGACGCCTTGGCCGATATTTTGCCAGGCAAACCGCTATGAACCACAGAATAGCATAACCGACAAAGACAGCGGAGACTGGATTGCGCAGTTCTGGTTCATTAGCCGTCGTAGGCCAGCCATGCCTAACGCCGAGGCATGCAAACCCTGGGGCTCTAAACCACGCAAGATAAGTCTTCTGACAAAACATCTGCTTAATTTCTGTTTTCTTGCATTCGGCCTGTTCTCCATCCTGTGTTTTGCCTAACCGTAGAGCCTTCTCAACGACAAGCTACCTTAAATTAATTGGTGTCCTACAACCCACCGCTGCCACAGGAAATATGAATACGGAAGGAGGGCCGTAAACTTGTACCTTTGACGGGGACATCAAATCTATTGTGTATGAAAATGTGTAATTAAGATTTGTAAAAGATCACCAGCTATCTAAATGCCGACATTTATCTAAGGGACGTAATTTAACCTACTAAGCAGACTGTCCGCTCATTTGACGATGTCTGGTACAGACGAAAACGCCTTAGCGCTGTCCGCTGTAGATATAGCATATCCATCACTAGGATGAATAGGTTACCCAAACAATCGTTAATGAATACGACTGCGATTTGCTATAAGAGGTGATTTTCCTAAATTCGTGGCGTTGTATGGAGCTTAATCAATATAAACTTGTAGGGGTACATTCTAAATACCAGCGCTTTAAAGGCCGTTAAGTCACCTAGACGTTTGCTAGCAAGTCGAGGTCACAGTTGCAAGCATCAAAGTTAGACGTTTTCGGGTGTTTTGCCCTGATCACGAAATTTACATGACCTCTGGAGTGCCAGACGCATTGGACCATGACAATTTTTGCTACTTTACCTGACCTCGCGACCAAGTGCTGGCGCGAACTTTACTTTTCAGTTCTGTCTGCTAGTCACGAAGCGTGTCGTATCTGGATCTCAGTAAATTCGATAGGAGTTGCAGTACCTGTGCTAACTCATGAAATGTCATGAATTAACACAGGTTAACGACTTAAACGCAGAATCGGTAAACACTACGGCCCCCAAAGTCTGATAGCGGAAAATAAACGATGTGTCAAAGAAATAAAGCAAAGTTTGGTTAAGAAAATATTATTTACTGAGATAAAAATAAATAATTTTCGACAAAAGTCACATTTTCGAGAAACGCCTATATTACAACCAAGTTAATAAAGGCTACTTATGAGGGCGTATATAGGAGGAGGGCGCATAAGAGGTGAAAAATAATTAAGGACAGAAACAGATACAAAAAATTAGTACTTTGTTGATTGTCCATTTAAATTAATAACGGCAGAAAGTCTGTCAGACATAGACATGACGAGGTTATCTATGGTGGATTGTAAATGTAATTATTGAGTATGAAATCCAATTTTTCCTGCATTGAAAGAGTCTTCTTAGCTTTGTGCCAATTTCTTTTGACTATTCCAAAAAGATTTTCGATAGGATTCAAATCGGGACTGTTGGCCGGGATGAAAATGGGTTGGAGGCCAATTTCGGAGAGGGTGGTTGTTGTCTAAAATGTTAGATTATATTTGCAAGCGGCATCAAATTCGTACCTCTTTAGAGCGGTGGACAGGTGCATTGTCCTGCAAAATTACAGTATCCATTCGTCGCCGACTTATGCCGTTCTAGCCCATGTTCGTTAATACCTAAATAGACTAGCATATTTTAAAGCGTTCACTTGCCTGTTAATAAGGCATTTCAATAGTAGCATTTTTGAAACATTTGCCTTATAATACTTCACGTGGTATACTTTATTAGCGTACAACCACAAACTTCAATCGGCAGTTTCCAGTTCACAAGAAGGCTGTCTGAGAGAATGCGTCTAAATAGATATCCTTAGTTCTTATTGGTTTTACAAAAGACCTTTGCACATGAGTTAACCAAAATTTGCTGCAGGTCTTGTGTTTGCATGTTAGAAGCATACATTTTGGAAAAGCTAGACATTATTCGAAAAAAATTGATGTCAGTGAAGGCACTATCAATCAGCATTTTGAAATTGGTCATCCAGTGCATATGGGCAACACTATGACGACCATTTTACTTGTGGCGGCGTTTGCGTTAAAATTGGCGAAACATTGGCCAACTTGTGCCTAGATTGTTCATAAGAATAATGTCAACACGCCAGCTCCTAGGCGAACTAACAAAGCCGCAGTCAACTGAGACTTTGAACATTCCCGTTCTGACTTTTATTTAACTAGGAAATGCATCTGCTTCTTGCCTGTCTCGCTAGTTATATTTAATTATTTTGCTCCGTTAAAGTATTTCAAGCTCATTAGAGATAACCTTAAAAACACGTTATTCGGCCCAATAAAATTCGTCGGTCTTTAACAAGTTTCTACTAGAAAGAAGTCATCGTGTTAATTTTAAACACTAAATCAGCTTACGCTTGATTTGGCTTTTTAATGCTTGACAATGCATTCGTCCGTTTTGCGTTTACTTATCATGCCTTACATACATTCTGACGTAAAAATTTTCGACATTGTCCTTATTTTTGTATGGTCGCATTTATATTCAGTAACAAAAACCTGCGCCTGGCAGAACGAATCTGCCGGTACTTTGCGCTCTGCTGGTGCGCTAGGGATATTGTCATGTACTTTGTTGTCAGTGGAGCAATATTCATTAGCAGGCAGTATTTCAACATGGCAAAAGGATGATCCAAATGCTCCTCCAAGATTGCCACACGAGACTTCGCAAGTACCGTCAAAGGATTAACCAAGAAAAGACCAGATGCTGTGAGTTACTGGGCGAGATCGGTACAAATCTGCTCCTGCAGAGGATAGCTGAACAAGCCCGCGAACAGAGAATGATACGCGGCGCAGCAATAGAGAACGAATTCCGAAAGCTGCCCAATACAACGTCGCCCAGAAATGACAAACTTTGCAAAAGCTATCTTTAAAGGAGCTGACAAAGGATCAGATGCTAGTTTTACGGCATGAAGCTTCATTCAACACGACTGACGCCAAACCTGTTGACATGATTGCAGCAGTGGAATCAAACCTTAGTCAGCAGGGGGGGGCAACGGAGGAGACTAAGAGCCTCATCCAACACCAAGTGTCGTCTCTCCTAATGGCCCACAGGCCGCGGGAAATGCTTTCCAAGGACGAACGTGATGCGCTTAGAGAACTCAAGGCCGAAAAGGACCCGGTTATCGCGCCAGCGGACAAGGGGTGCTCCACGGTTGTACTGGACAGGACAGACTACCTTCAAAAAGCCAAAGGTTTACAGGAGGACCGACAGTTCTATGTCCCATGTGCAACGAACCCTGTAAAAGCGCTGACACGCGAAATTAATGCTACGTTGTTGGCCTTGGAGAACTCAGGTACAATAACACCGACTGACAGACGCATGGGGAGATCCCAAGATATGTCTTTGGCCCGATTCTATAGCCTCCCTAAGGTGCACAAAGACGACGCTCCTCTCCGACCCATCGTGTCGCTTTAAGGGGCTCCAACGTACGGACTGCCTAAGTGGCAGTTCCGGCGTCTCAAGTTCCAGACCGCTGAGTCAGACACCACGGTGTCTTCATCAGCACAATTGCTGGAGAAACTCAAAAGGGTAAGTCCCCATCGAAATGAGATCATAGTATCTTTTGATGCAACATCCCTTTTTACTTATATTCTCCAGGACCTGGCGATCGAGGAGATCGAGCTGCTTCTACAAAGCAGATACGATGAAACGGAGAATCGTCTTGGACACGCCCAAGTCCCTCAGCTCCTGAAGTTCTGTCTCAGGACGTACTTCACGGTCGACGAGACAATCTACACACAGGTGAAGGGTCGATTTCCGGGATTCATCGCAGAGGTGGTCCTGCAACGGTTAGAGTCGCTGGTCTTCCAACATCACAAACCGAATTTCTGGGCTCAGTATATAGAAGATACCTTCGTCGCCATCGACCGGGATCAACTGCTGACATTCAAGGAACATCTGAATGAGGTCTTCCCGGACATACAATTTACGAAGGAGGAGGAACAGAACAACCAGCTGGCCTTCCTGGATGTCCTCGTATGCCGCAAATATTGTGGTGGACTAAAGACCAAAGTGTTCAGGAAAGCGACAAATACGATGCGAGTACCGAACTTCAACGGCAACCGCCCAATCAGCCACAAAAGCAGTTGTGTAAGGACGCTCTATCGGCGTGTCGAAACGCACTGCAGTGAGTCGGAAGACAAGACTCCTGAACTACAATACCTCCGACGAGTCTTCAAAGCCAATGGCTACTCGTGCAACTTCGTCAACCGGTGCATATGCAAACGGGACAAAAGGCCTAACCGCACGGACGCCAAAGTTTGACGAGCACTTCCGTATGTCAAGAACGTATCGGAGGTTGTCGGCCGCCTTTTCGTACCACTGGGGATTGGAGTTGCACATAGAACGGAGGCAACCATCAGGCGTCAGTTAATGAAACAGAAAGACCCACTGCCACGGCAAGAAACGTCTGGAGTCGTTTATCGGATCTGGTGCAGTTGTGGACAAAGCAACTACGTCGGTGAAACCGGAAGACAGATCCGAACGCAGATGGCCGAACACGCTACAGCGGTGCGGAAAAATGACGCTAGCTTTCAAGTTCTGGCTCATTCGACGAGATCCGGCCACACATTCAAATGTGACGAGGCAAAAATTCTCGCAAGAGGTGAGAACCACATGAGCCCTGAGGTGATTTAGTCATAGTTTACTGGCCCTCAGCCCATTATCAAGTGCAATGATCTTCCCATTCCATAATCGGCGCTGAGACTTCCCTAGACGGAGTAACTGGCCACGCGGGGAGCGCACAGGGGAACACTTTCCCAACGTCAGGGTCGGTGGATCAGATGATCGAGCAATCATCACACCAACATCCAACGCACGTGATGAAATTGCAGCAATTAACGACGCGAATGTCGGCCATCACACCACGTGCGACGATCCCTGATAAAGGGGGGAGCCGCGAAGGTTCATAGGTATGCGTTAGCATGGCGACTGCATCCAAGACATAATGCAACCCCTTCTGCATGAACCACCCGTATCTGCTGTTGTCTCTGATGATGGGTTCGAGCAGGAATGCGAAACGTCAGGCTAATAAAGCTCTTGTCCCAGCGATCGTGTCTCCTTCCTCATAATTATCAGTATTGCAAAATATCTTTTAATGCAAAATGAACTGGTGCTGGTGTTGTTAGTGGAGGTTGTCGATTTTGTAGTGCTGGGTGCATATAGGATTCACATGGAGGATGTGGGTTTTTTTAAGTTTACTTTGCCGCAAATCTCGCCCTCGTGGATATGCATATGGCCGATAGATGCACGCGGGATTTGAGCTGTATGTTGAAGCTCCGTGCACTGGTTTACCGATCTCTTAGCAATTAATTCTCAGTTGACCTATCAGCCCGCTGCGTGACCCGAAGATGCTTCCACAATGAGGATCTTTTGAGGCTATGTCCGCAGTGCTGATTATGAGGTTAGATTTGTGGTGTCTGTGGCGATGCTCATGTTGCGGGTAATTGTTATCAGAGCGACAGATGTGTGCTCCCTGATGATGAGGCGGTGCCGGATTTGCAATAGTGAGGCTGTTTATAGAGGCATTAGTTGGGGTTAGTATAGGGTGTTATTTCTGGTATCGCGATCCTGAACAAGACTGATTATGTGAGAAAGATGGAAGCCATATTGAGTGACTCCAGCAAATTTTCCTCGGAAGCCCATGAGAAAGAAGAAACAAAAGCGCTAGAAGACCTTATTCGGAAAAAGGCTAAATCGTTACTTGAAAGGCAAATAATAGACAAGAACATGGCTGCGTGTCTTAGGCCTGTAGGGTCGCACATTCCCAGACCATATGGACTGCCAAAATTGCACAAACTAGGGGTGTCATTGCGACCGATGTTATCAATGAGGAATTCACCTCAACGTAAACTTGCCCAATTGTTTGTGCAACAAATCGAACCAATCAGACGTAACCTTGCCGTTTACACTACCAAAGATACTTTCTCCTTCGCAGATGAGCTGAAACATCAGAATCTACTGAATAAACATATGATCTCGCTTGACGTGCAGAGCCTATTTACAAACGTGCCGCTGGATGAAACAATTGACATAATTTGTGAGCATGCGGATGAAACTCACCTGCCACCAGAGCAACTGCGGGAACTACTACAGATATGTACAAATAATGTACAGTTCTCGTTCAACGGGCGGCTGTATCGACAGATCGATGGTGCAGCTATGGGCAGTCCATTGGGGCCAGTCCTAGCGGACATTATCATGTCTAATCTAGAGCGAAAACTAGACCAGAACTTCCAAAGAGCCTCATTCTATGGGCGATATGCGGATAACATTTTCGCCATAGTCAAAAACCCAGGTGACGGAGAACTACTACTGAAGGCTCGGAACAAAATACATGCAAAGATCAAATTTACGATCGAGCATGAGAAGAATGACACACTGCCTTTCCTGGATATTCTTGTACGTAGGCGGGGCAGATGGCCCTATTCAGAGATCCGTCTATCGAAGACCAACCTGGAAAGGACAATACATGCACTTCTTCAGTTTCGTTCCAATTCAGAGAAAACGGAACTTGGTTTTGTGCCTGTTCAGCAGAGCCACCAGAATCTGCTCCCCAGATACGATCGATGACGAGCTTACTTTCTTAAAGAATTTTTTCTTGCAAACGGGTATTCGGGGAAATTCATCGATAAATATCGCCATCACAGACAAGGAACTCCTGAAGAAATATCTGTACCAAAAAAGTCAGTAACCATTTACCTCCCTTCCAAGGGTAATAACGTGTCGAACGTGATCAAGCGACGACTTCGGTACACAATCGAAAGGACGTATGCCGCCTCTAAATTTTTATTCATAAGCACCACAATGGCCATCCCATTTAGACCAGCTAAAGACATTTCGCCTATACACGCCACATCAAACTGTATTTATGAGTTTACATGTAGTTGCGTATGCAAGTACATTGGGCGCACGCAAAGGCAGTTGGCAGCTCGGTCAGCTGAACACATGCCGAAGTGACTGCTTAAGGCGGAAAATAAGGTACCCAGAAGCTCAATCACAAAGCACCTAGTGGACACGGGCCATACGGTGGACCCAATGGTTGCGTTCAAGGTCCTGTTTCGGGCGACGACCGGACGTCTCTTGCGCTTTGCAGAGGCCGCTGCAATACGGAGGAGGTAATCAGAACTCTGTAAGCAGTTGGACCACGTGATAAACCTGGCACTACCATGGTAGGGATCAGTTATGTATGAAACCCTGTTCCCATATACGCCTTCTCATTTCGCTCCCACCTTCCCTCCCCTCCTCGGCCTGACTGAATGCTGCCCGCGCGTTGCACCGTAAATCACGCCGAACAAGTTCTCACTGTAGTCCTTACTCTCATGATTGGATGACTTCTCTCCCCCTCCGCCCCTCGCCATATGCACCCGCATACTAGACCCATGTTTCGGGTTACCTATCACGGTTTATCGACCTAGGCCGACCGTTGATTGAACAGTTTGCCTTGTCATATAACTATGCAATGACCGTACGCAGCTGAATGATAGGTCTCGAAATTTTTGACGTCAGTAAATGCTGCAGGCTTTGTCGCCTTTGCCTTATCCAGGTAATTTATTTGTTCCTAATATGTCCAACGAAGCCCATCCGTGCACCAATTTTTTGTTAGCATCGAGGACACGATGAAAGCGACTAGAAAGTGGGGTTGCAGGTCTGAGATGCTTAAGGCGTGTGAGCTTCTGTAGTGGCATTACGAGCAAATTTCTGGATGGCATCGTAGATTGTTGTCCCAGACTTCCCTGTTGATTCGAATAGCGCCGAACTCGGCTCCGACCGGCAGAAAGGCCCATTTCTGTTTATCCTCAATCCTGTACTCCTCATTTTTCTCAGCCGCATTCACATTCAAAAGCCAACCGACCATTTAGCCGAAAACATCCTGGTAAACCGTCTCCACCGTCAATTAAAGACCGTCTTGCATGTAACAGAAATCCAGCAAACTGGTCCAGACAGACACCACTGTCGCTTCTTGGCATTAAGCTAGTAGTAAATTCGAACCTGCCTACAGCGATAATAAATTAGTTTCTGCCTCTGCCCTCCGGAGAACTAGGCAAGATAAAAACCCAAATTTCCGTGAGGTTGACAAGAGATCTGGCAACTCAGTTTATCTTCTCTGTTGATTAACGATAAGAACTCTGTCTATCGAGCATTTTATCCAAAAGGTTTGACAAACCTTGCTCACGTATGCAATCATTTGGACCGTGCGCATTTGCTGATGGCATCGTAATATAAATGAGCAATGCGTGATATTCGCCGATGATACGAAGACGTGACCGACGGTGAACAGGTTGAAAGGCATCTGCAGAGCTGCCTTAAGGAGAAAAATAACCTTATACATATTGCTTCTGTCCCTTAACCCTTGCCCTAGCTCCCCGTATTTTGTGCATTCCCAGCTCCGACAATTTCTTTGCCGCCAGAACCAACAACATCATTTCAGTCTAAGTCCGCTAAAGCAGCACACACTTGCGAATCCTCAAAGACACCTCCGGCCGACTGAATGCTCACGATGCCGCGCTAGAATAATTTCTCCGGCATCACAGCACAGGGCTTCTGGTCTAGCCGCAATCCAATTTGGCAGTGCGCTTACGCCATCCAAGTCCGGCCATTTAGTTAGGCCACTTTCCTTCCCCTAAACGCTTCCTATCAATCAGTGAGTTGGTCTGCGGAGAATTAGAATGGATTGGGCGAGAGCTCCAGACTGATCAACGTTGAGTCCACCAATGATTGACTTCAGGTGGGGCTACAACCCCAACGGCACTCAGTCTGCTAAAAAGGAAACCAAACACAGTCTACGTCTTCTTGAGCCACGAAAGGGGTCACGCTAACCTGACTCTCAATTTGCCTATCGTCAATTTATTAACCATCGTAGTTCCACAGATCTACTCCATACGCATTCTGCCACATTCTGGGTGCAACCTTAACCTCAGGTTATGTGAGAGGGTGGCTACCATCTTCGGAGACCTATTCACACAAGGCACCGCTGGCTAAAATTTCGGACCGGTGCCCCTTTATTTGCGTATGCGCGGACATACGAAGTCGCGTAAGCAGCACATGCTATATGCATCTATCGACTATGACGGAATTTAGCAGCCTTGTCTTCGTGTCCTCAGAAATACGTCTCGGCACACCGGTATAGTGCTCTTATGTAAGTGATTTTATCGCTGTCTGGATGCCTACAGTTGAGACGCAGTAAGTTCGTCTACTTTCAGTGACCGGTCTCACGAAATATGAATGAAAATTCTCAAATTCCTTTTTAAATGAGAAGGGCTAAT